CTGGCGACCCATCCCCAGCGGCCCCTCCCATGCCTCTCTGGACCCCCCCGTGCAACAGGGTGGCAGTTTTTGGAGACCCTCTGCCTGCCAGAGCTGCCAACTCCAGGCAGGGTGGACAGGGTGCCTCCTGCCCTCGGAGGCCGGGGACCCAGTCTAGGACTTTCAGCAAAATCCAAAGGTGCGTGTGCACGCGTCTGTGGGTGTGCGTGTGTGCATATGCACGTGTGTGTGTGCACGTCTGCGTGCACATGCAGGTGTATACGCGTCTGTGTGCACATGTGTGTCTGTGTGCATGCGTGCATATGCGGGAGCACGTGTGCGTGTGTGAGCACGTGGTCTGGTTAGCAGCTGGATGTGGAGGAACGAGGCGAAGGTGTTTGAGGCGAGGGTGAATGCCAGAGCAGAAGAAGGAAAAGAGGTTCTGCAGAGACCCTGGATCTGAGGGGGAGATGGAGGCCTCAGGCCGGGGGCCACGTGGTTGCAGCCCTGGGGTGTCTGTGTGACTCCCCGGCCACGCACGGCCTGGCCAGTGAGAAGCCAGGGTGCAAGGCCACCGACCCCAGGACGCGTGGCCTCCAGCCTGTGGGCGGGGAAGGCTTCCCGGTAGTTGGAGAAGCTAGTTCTCCGCTCTTGTGTGTGTGTGTCCCAGCACCTCAGAAAGCCCTCTGGGAGACTCCGTCCTGGCGATGTGAGAGGCTGGACAGCCACCACAGTGGACAGCCCGGGACCCACTGGGCTTCATGGCCAGCCCATACTCTGGACCAAAATTAGACCTCCAAACTTCTTCTCATGCTAAGGATGCTCAGCGGCTACCTCGGAAAAGAAAGCATTGCTTTTCTAAAATACATGTAGGTGGGCAAGCCTGGACACGTAGAGACGTAGCTTCCTCTGAACCCCAGGCCTTTCTCCAGGGGTGTGTGTTCTGGATCGTAACATACTCTTAAATTTACAGAAATTTCTCAGCATCCGAGAGTGCGGGGCTGGGTGGGAGCCTTCGCCTAGCCTGGCGACTCTGGGTGTCCCGGGAGCGTGTGGTCCGCTGGGGGCGGGGGGTCCTGGCCCTCAGCAAAGCCTTGCAGCAGGGCCCCGGGGAGCTCGGGGGAGGGGGCTTGGGGGCCGTGAGATGGGACAGTGGCAGTCCCGGCAGCCTGAGGCCTCGGAGCTGCTCTCCCCTGTGACCCCAGAGCTTCCCATATAGCCCGGCCCAGACACAGCTTGTTTGTTGATTGAACAAATGATCACGCATATTACTATTCAGAAACTAAAGCCAAGGGATGAGGTAATCCACTTGAGTGAATTCTGCAGATAAATGAAACCCCCTCAGTTCACGTTAACATTTTCCACCAGCTTCTCAAACAGAGGCAGACACATTCATTCAACAGCTGATGTTGGAGCGCCCGTTACAGGCCGGGCGAGGCGCTGGGTGCCGGAGAAGCTGCCCTCAGCGGGCTCTCTGGGGGAGACGCGCCCTCAAGGAGGAAGCAAACCGAGTGTGGGCACTGTCAGGGTGAAACCTGCTCCTGCCGCCTCCCTCCGGGGCCCCGCACGATGCTCCCCACCCACTGCAGGCCCGGAATCCGGGGCAGGTGGCACTTCTGAGGAGCCCACTCCCTCTGGGCTGTCCCTCACAGCCAGCTCTTAATTAGCAAAATAAGTAGCACGATGATAAATGTCATGATTTACTCAACAAATGATCAAAATCATTGTTTTTTCAGACCCCAGGGCAATCAAATGCAATCACGGGGTGATTTATTCTGGGCAGAGTGAGTGGTGGCTGCGTCAGCCGGCGGGCTGCGTCTGGGCAGAGGGGGGCCGGGAGTTTGGGTATCTTTCCAGACAGGGGGACAGACCGCCACCCTCTGAGATGGATCCTGGGGGGCCGTGTCCACACAGCCCACCCTCCCGTCTTGCCACCAGGCTGGCCAGGTCCGGGGTGCCGGGGACCCGCCTGACGTGGGAGTCTCTTCCTGGTGTTCCCCAAAGCAGCGAGGAGAAGGAGGTTCAGAGTCACCGACTGTCTGACGCACATGTGGGAGGGAGGAGCCGCGTGGGGACGGTGGGAAGGATGCATAATGAGCAAACTACACTACAAAAAGAGAAAAGAAAACAGGACCGTTTTCTGGAATGGTCCAGAACAAGAATTATGCTCTCAGGGTAGAAAGAGAATGGTTTCCATGGTGTCCCCAAATGACAGTAAGAATAACCTATTTGACCTTGATTTTAAACCAGTGTCTGGCCCCCAGACTCAGCCCTCCAGGAGAAGCCAGGCTCCCGAGCACGGACTGGCCACAGACCTGCTGCTGTCCGCCCTCGGGGTGCAGACCGTCCTGGATCCTCCGTGGATCTCCTTTGTCATCTTTGCTAACATGTCATCACTGCTTCTTCCTCAGGAAAGGAATAGTGGGTCAATTGCAGTGAAATCAAATTGCCCTGATTTATAATACTTAATTGCCAGTGTGAGCGCAAGCAATTACACATCCGAAACTCGGAGCGTCCCAAGATGATACGCTCCCCTGCGCTGTCCCTGGGCCCTGCCTCTGACCATCCCGGGTCTGGCCGGCGTCCCCTGCGGATGCGACCCTCCAGCGCTGACGATCTCTGCATCCCAGTGTCTCACGAGTGCACTGCCAACCCGCAGACGGCATCTTCGCAGGACCGCGGCCCTGGGGTCTGCCGTGGTTCAAGTGCCTTATTAGCATTCATGACTCGGGGGCTCCCCAGAGGCCCCTCTCCTGTCCAGAATCACAGAAAGACCCGGGATCCCCCCCAGGCTCGGGCCCTGTTTGCAAAGGCAAGGACAGGGCCTAACTGTGAAGGGGCAGCCGAGCTGCCGGTCCTGCCAGAGGAAGGCACAAAACAGTGGGAACCCGCAATCATCTGTCTGCGGGGACACATGGGAAATCCAGCAAGGCGCTCACTTACAAGGGACGACGGGTGGTTTTCCTGCCCCAAAGGCCGAAACTGAGGTCCGGGGAGCCAGAAAAAAAATGCCTAGACCTTATTTATTTTAGGCAAAAGTGAGTCTGCCCTGAGTTTTCAGGGTGCCCACCTCCTCCCTTCTCTCCTGCATTCGGGGGAGGCGGAGGCTTCCAGCCCAATTCGGCATCGGTCCTCGGTCGCAAGGACAGCACCACAGCGGCTCAGACCCCGTGTGACGGAAGGCCACAAAGCCCAAAGGCGGGTCACAGAGGCAGGTCCCCGGTGCCCGAGCTCACGAGGAAAGCAAAGTCAGCCGAGATAATGTCGGGGTGCGTCTGGAACACTGAGGACGTTGGGTTGTGAGCAAATATTCCTAAGTGCTGGCATGAAAGGCAGCTGTGAGGTCACGACCACGGAACAAAGGCCACTGCAGACATGGGAGGCGCGCCGTGGAGGAGAACGTTCCCTCACATATGCAGAGAATAAACAATGTGCAAAGTCAACAGGCACCGGGCAGATCCTAGTGACAGCCGGAACCAGCCCTGGCACCGAGCGAGCTGAAGCGATACGGACCATTTCTTGAGAAAAAGAGCAAACAGAAACTTTTATCGGGTCAGACAAGCACAAAGTTGCCTCAAGGTCATCCAAAGCGTTACCTCTGGGGTTCGCATACCCTCTGCCCTCTGCAGGCCGCCTGCTAATTACACAGTGCACATCTCTCCGAGCGTGTCGACAAACACCCTTAAACCCCTCTCTCGAACAGCCGGGTGGGGGGACAGGACAGGTCGAGTCTGCAAAAGGCTCTCCTTGGTCCCCTGAGGGGCGACCCCATGAGCCACGAAAGAGCCACGTGCCCACAGAGCCACGGGGATTTCAAACTCCTTTGCTACCCACCGCACCCTGCTCCCAGGCCCCTGGCTGCTCTGCTCTGAGGGTGACCCCGACCTTGAGCGGCACACACCCGTCGGCCACCTCCAGACAGCAGGGGACACACTGGATCTCACCACAGGGGTTCTGGCCTTCCCGTCCCTTCATCCGTCTGGTCAGCCCACCTCTCGCCTAAACCCTCAAAGCCCTGGGCTTTCAGCTGGCGCCCCATGTCCCCGGCGTCCACACCCCACATGCCGCCATGGGCCACATCCCCTCGCCACACAGGGCCCTCTTCCCTCCTTGGACACTTCGCCCCTTCCTAGAGCTGACCTCCAGCAAGCACTTTTGGAAGTTGTGAAATGCCCAGAAGGAATCTGGGTTTGCATCTGCATTTTCTGCCCAGGCAGGGTCTCTGCCAAAAATACCACCAAGCATTGGCTGTATGAGGCTGGAAGAACAGCCAGGGCAGCGGCGAGAACACTTCCATGGGGCTTGTGGTCCCCACGAAGACCACCTCTCAAGACCCCCAAACCCTTGATGGGTGCTCGGGGACAGTGGCATTCCTCAGCTAGCGGGCCCTCCCCCTCCTGACCGCAGAGAGGGGCTCCAGAACCGTCAGCCAGGCCCAGGTTGTTAGGGAAATCTAAGCCGCAGGATGCCCCTCCCTGGCAGGATGAGAAGTGGGGGCTCCTCTTAGAGAGCCGGCTGGCCAGGGCACGGTGGGCGGGGGGCTCTGGCATGCACGTGCAGGGGGCGTCTGGGGGCAGCAAGGTCACCAGGCATGTTTTACGAGATGCCCCACCCCCATTACAGGAGGTAGGCCCCCATCTGCAGAAGTGTTCCCCAGAGTAGAGACTCCTGTTCCGGGACATTCCATTAATCTGCACGGTTCTGCAGAGACTGCAGCCTTAGCACCTAAGACCCAGACGGGGAGCACGGGTGTTTTAAGACATGAGCTCATTAAAGACACATTTCCGGGAAGAGAGCAGGCCTAGCCTATGGGGGCTGACAGGCGCCCACGAGGACCGCTGATGTTTGCTGAGTCGCGTCATGCAAGCTGCAGGACCAAATAAGCCTGGGAAATGTGACATTCGAGCGCTCTCTCCGACCGAGCCTCCCGCCTCGGGCAGCGCTGCTCAGCCCGGCTTTATAAATAGATTGAACACAAGATAAATGGCCGTGATCAATCACGCTCACACGGGAATGCTCACCTCCCATCCAAAGTCTGCCTCCTTCCACGTGGCCCGGGGTGCCCCCATGTAAGGGCCAAACCTCGCCCCGATTTCCATCCTCTTCTTGGCCCAGATCCCCAGGCCTGCCCCTGGGATGGAGGACTCTCGGAGCTCAAAGTCTGGCGGGATGGGAATGTCCTCAGGAATGTAGACGGGGGCTTCGTACGGCGAGCCCTCCTTGGGGGTGAAGTCCTCGCTGGTGGGGAAGGGGGACGGCGGCCCCATGGGGATGGGGGATACGACGCTGTCCTCTGTCTCGTACTCCGCGCTCTCGCCAGCCAGCAGGTCCGGGTCGGGCTCATGCATGTTATTTACAATGTCGCCGTCACCTGAAGGAGACAAGGCAGTGTCAAGCTTCTGTGGCTCGCCCTCCCCTGTGCATGACACGTGGGGACCACCTGGGACATGGGGCAGAATGGGGACCGAGGGCGCCGACCGCCACCCCCTGCCCGGAAGACATGCCCTTTACTCCGTATTCCAGGGACGTGGGGAAGCGGGGTTCAGAACCTCCACAGGGTTGTGTGGCTCCGCAAGGCCCCACGTGGCCCCCCAAGGACCTGTGGGCCCCTTCTGCTTTAGGAAAGCAAGGAGAGGAGATGCCCACGCTCCATGAGTTTGGGAACAGTGGGGAGAGCCGTCAGAGAGGGCACCCTACCCAGGGCCGGTAGTGAAATAGTCTCTCCAGAACCATTCCGGTTTGTGTCTGGCGTTGGAAATTAGGGGGGACATGTCTCAGATTCTTGGGAGGACTCAGGATTTGGATTAGTATGAAATCTGCTCCAACACCTGGGCAGCCCTCGGCGTCTTGGTGGGGGCCAGGGGGACAGGTTCCTGAGCTCCTGATGACCTAAGGGCCAGTTAAGACAGAGGTTTGCTGAGGTCACAAATGTGGGGTTCGCGGGGATGCAGGTCACTGGGTCTGAGGTCTGGTGCGGGCCTCTCTTTGGGGTCCATCCTAGGAGACGGTTGGTGCCAAGATACGGCTACCTGGACGTGCGCCAGGCCTGAGGCACAGGGGAGGCCGAGAGATGTGGGCCGAGGGAGGAATGGGGGGGCAAGGAGTAGCTGGTCAGCCAGGAAAGCAGCTCTGCCCAGAGGAACGGGAAGCGGGCACCCAGACAGCTGGGAGTCCCCAAGGGCACGACGACCCCTTGTCCATCCACAGACAGATAAACAGATGCGTCGGTCCACACAGCGGACTGCTACTCAGCGTGGACACCCCCTCACCTCGCTGTGGCGCAGAAGCACCTGGACGCTCGGAGAAGGGCGCCGGCGCGCTCGGTACACGGGAAGTGTCCAGAAAAGCAAGGCCAAGAGACGGAACTCATGCCGTGGCTGCTGGGGCCTGGGAGGGAGGGGCCCCGGGAGTGACTGAGTATCGGGCATGGGTCTCCTCTAGGGAAGGAAATGTTCCGGACGGAGAGGGAGGTGTTGGTCGCACACCTGCGTGAAGGTGCCAAATGAGCTGTCCCGTTCGAAAGCTGAACTTGTACGTTACACGACCGTGGATCGTGCGGCGCCGAAACGGGGAGGTCAGCGAAGGGCGCCCACTGACCTCCGACCTGGACCTTTCTGCCCAAGTCCCTTATGCACTGGCCTGAAACCGGGGACAGGGACCCTGCCCCCGGGCCCCTCCCTGCCCCCCTCTGCCCCGGCGTGGGGCCTGGGGACACTCGAGCACAGGAGAAATGACTTCAGAGTCCTCACGCCAGTGCAAACAGATCTGCTGAGAAGTAACAAAATGTTTTCTTTCAAAAGAAACCAAAGTCTTGGAAAAAAAAAAAAAATCATGGGGATAACACTTATTTAATTTAGCAGCATTCAGAGAAGTAATTATTATGTTTTACGTGGCCAACGGTTCCCTTCTAATTGACTCGTAGGCTCCTTTCAAAAATGCGACAACAGAAGGGCAGCTATGGTTCTCTTGGCCAGAAAGATCCAAGTCGTTAGGTTTGAAAGAACACCCCCATAAACCTTCCCGGCGACCGTGCACAGCATAAAGGTAAATTGGAAGGGGGGGTAATTAATATGCCGCCTCATTATCTGGAACTGGTAAATGCACGAGGCTCACACACAGAATCAGGTTGGGAGCCCCCTCCCCATGCGCTTCGGGGTGCGATGCCTTTGCCTTCCAGGACAATTAGGATCTGCTAGCGCAGAAAGCGGGGAGGGGTCCCCATCCTGTGCATATTCATCTCAGGGCTCTTTGGGGGCTTTTTTTTTTTCCTGTTTGAATTCTACTTCCCAAAACTCCTCACCTACTGGAGGAAAACCAAGGCTTTAAGGGCATGTTTAATTTACTGGCCAAGCAAACAGTTTAGGAGAGAAAGGTGGTGTTTCCTGTTGATTAAAGGCAGGCAGTGCGCGGCTGGCCTCCCACCCCCGGTGGGCACAGGGGTTAAGTGATTGCCTAAAGCCACTGGGAGAAGCCGGGTCTCCATTCCGCGGCCCCCGCTGTTGCGGGGGGGAGCTCTTCTTTCACCGGTGGGGTGAGGAGACCTCATCAGTGTGTGGGAGACATTTGGAGAAAATGAGGTGCCGCAAACAGCCCGAGGCCCTGGAGAAAGCCGCAAGCTGCTTGGGGCCGCCGGAGCCTTCCGGGCAGACCCGCACAACTTGCCCAGCTCCCCAGGGTCCCCGAGCAACCAGAGAGGCGGGATCAGAAGAGCATCCTTCCTCAGCCCTGCGCTCCAGCCAGGAGCCCCTCTTGCCCTGGGCGAAGCGGGCATGTACAGGGAGTGGGCATCATTTTCCCCAGGCCCCCAGGACCGCCGGCACATTCCAGCCGGCACTCTCTCGAAAGTCAGGATGCAGAGCCAAGAACAGGAGCTTTTTATGACTTTGGAAATATAGGCTGTGCAATCGTGTGTTGTTTACTTGTAGGGAGAGCTGAGGTCCTTTATTTGGGTTTTGTGGTAATTTCAGGCTAAGGGTTCATGACTGAGTCCATCGTTCCTAAAAATTCTTTTGGGAGACTTACTAAAAAATCATAAAAGCAGGGAGGAGAGGAGAGGGAGCCTGGAGCTGGTGAGCCAGCGGAGCCGTCCTGAGCCGTGGCCACGGGGCACCTGCTGCAGGTCAGCGGCCCCGCCGGGTCCCTGAGCTCTTGGGAACTTCGTGCTGAAACCCCGTTTGGAGGCCTGTCACGTGCTGCTCGATGTATGAACAACGGACACTCGGTCTCAGAAAACGGGTCAGAGAAGTGAAGAAACCTAGCTGCTCCCTGGGTCTGGATCACACCGGCTGGGAGCCACCACATCCTCGGTCCCAACCTGCTCTGGGTCCCACCCAAACCCTGAGTTTAGGGCTCGGTCTCTTCCAGCCCCACAGTGGGAGCCTTGTGCGCCCCCTGCCCTATTGGTAGCAAATTACATCTGATCGGAAGGCCCCCCCCCCCCATCTAAACATCAAACCAGCAGCCAGGATGTCGGGGTCTGGAGAGAGAGAGACGAGAGAGACAGCCCCCAGTCAGGACCGTGCCCAGCCCGCCAGTCCCTCCTAGGCTGTCCCCTGCCCTGGCGGCAGAAGCAGCACCTGGAGGACGGTGATCAGCAGGGTGAAGACCACTGGCCCCCGAACCTGCAGCTCCGCCGGGTCTTACACGGAGGAGTGGGCGGACTGGAGCCCTGCCCTTGGCTGGGGGCGGGAGGGAATTCCTCTGGGTCCATGCGTGGTTTGCTCCAGTCCTGCCTCCCGTGTGCCGCGAGGAGCCAGAAACCTGCCGGCGCCTCTGGCAGGGTCGCTGCGCCGTGTGGGGTTCGGCGGGGCCGAGGCCTGGGGGGTGAGTGTGCGTGCGTGGGCTGCGCCAGGGAGGCACCTCTGGGTGGGAGGGCTCGGCTGCCCTCTGCATGGACACCCCTGAGAAGCGAAAGCCTCCGCGTGTGGCTCCGGAGCCCAGGAACTGAGGCCGCCTTCCTCTTCCTCCCACAAGGCAGAAGGACGGTGCTCCGGCCCTGGGCTGCCCCCACCGTGGTCCCGAAAGAACCTCACAGGGGCATCCTGATGCCGGCCTGCAATGTCACTGTGACCTTGGGAATGGTGATATTGCCCACCCGCCCGGCGAGGGATGACAGAAAGCCCTGCCCGCGCGCCCTGTCCAGGGCCCTGGACCGCTCTCCTTGGGCTCACTGCCCTCCAGAACACCCCTTCTTTGCCCCAGGGCTTTCTGCCTCTGGACGCCTGACGTGGCCTGCCTCAGCCCTCGGGGCCGCTCACACCACTACTGGACACCGGGCCCCGGGGCCCCAAGCCCCCGTCCCTTGTGCCCAGAGAGCCACCGGCCCAGCTCTGTGGCCCACCCGCCGGGCACGCCGGCTCCTGGGACACAGGGAGGCACACCGAGTGGGCACCGGGTGCCGGCTGCTTCCGGCCACTTCCATGAGTTCGCTCCTGGAAACTGCGGGGTCGAGGAGAAGGAAGATGAGCGAGAACTCCTGAAGAGAGGACTGCATATTGAGGGTGACCCCAGGGCCCGTTATAGATGGGTGCTCATGGGTGGAGTGGGGAGGCGGGAGGTTATCGGAGGACCAGGCGAGGGAGGCACCTTTAGGGGCCGGGGCGCCTGCGGCCCTGCATCGAGGCTGCGGGGCTGCCTGCACCTGAGGGGTGCGCTGTGTCGGGACCCTACCCCGTGTGCGTGTCGGGGCCGCAGGGCTGCCCTTCTCTGTGTTTGTTCTTACAACTGTGTGTGAATCTACGGTGATTTCAGTTACAATCTCTATTAAAAGAGCACCTACTTTGAAAAATACCCATTCTTTATTGCACCCATGTGCACAGTGACAGTTCCTTCGGCTCTGGCGGTTTCCACGAGAACACGTTTAATTACTCTCTTCTGTCTGCCCCCCCGAGGGGGGGGCTTTCAAACCACAAAACCAGCCTCTGAGGCTGACAACTGGTGTCCCCAGTGAACTCGAGAAACACCAGGGACCTCTTGCTCACAAGGGCACAAACGGGCCTGGTGGCAGCATGTCAACCAAACCACAGGGAGGGTCCCCGAGACGAGCTAGGCCAAGAGCAGGGAGGCGGGTGTGGACCGCCCAGCAGCCTTGCCCCTGGTTCCCCCCCTTGCCCTTAACTCTCTGGGCTTCGGAAGAAAGCAGAAAAGGTGGTGCCGATTGCCCAGGACTGGGGAGCCCCATTATCTTCACACTTGGTGTGGACAGTGGTGCCAGGTGGGGCTGGGACAGGGGACGCCCGCGAGGTGCCCAGCACCCGGCCCTGCGAGTGAGCCCCTGAAATCTGCCCCTTCTCCCCTTCAGGCCCAACACCCTCCTGCCCTAATGCCCCCCCGATAAACTCTCAGGGGCAGATCCACCGGGAGACCGTGCCC